CACTTAAAATCCGGTTTTTGCTGCCTGCAGAATACTGGGGATTGTAGTTTTGTGAGGTTATTAAAGGCTCCTCCCTAAACTACAAACCCCAGAATTCTGCAGGGGGCAGCAACTGGATTTAAAGTGGTTTCATTTTTTAGTGTGATGAAGTAGAAATTTATGTTCTTGTGGAAAGCAGAGGCACATCCAGTTACATTTGTTGTTGTTCATTCGTTCTGTTGTTTCCGACTCTTCCTGACCTCATGGGCCAGCCCACACCAGAGCTCCCTGTCGGCCGTCACCACCCCCACCTCCTTCAAGGTCAATCCAGTCACTTCAAGGATGCCATCTATCCATCTCGCCCTTGGCCGGCCCCTCTTCCTTTTTCCTTCCATTTTCCCCAGCATCATTGTCTTCTCTAAGCTTTCCTTTCTTCTCATGATGTGGCCAAAGTACTTCATCTTTGCCTCTACTATCCTTCCCTCCAATGAGCAGTCTGGCTTTATTTCCTGAAGCATGGACTGGTTGGATCTTCTCACAGTCCGACGCACTCTCAGAACTTTCCTCCAGCACCTCAGTTCAAAAGCATCTATCTTCCTTCGCTCAGCCTTCCCTAAGGTCCAGCTCTCACATCCGTAGGTGACTACGGGGAATACCATTGCTTTTACTATGCAGATCTTCATTGCCACTGTGATGTCTCTTCACTATTTTATCGAGAATGGACATTACTCTCCAGTTACATTTAGATGCAAGCAATTCTGCATAGTCTCTTGTAAAACTTCTTATACAATTCCTTGTGCAATGAAAAGTGGATTGAATATAGCCTCTTGCACCAACTCTGGAAATAAGCTTCAGCTTATGCTTTGCAATAGAATAAATTACAACAATGGGTGGCAACCACTTTCTAAGTTCTTCCTTGAAACACACAACAAAGTAAAGGTAGAAGTAGAACCAACCTATCATTAAAGCAATGAGATGATCATGTCAGGCAGAAGATTTAGAAGGATAGCAAGGGTAGTAGTTTCCTAGCTGTTCTTCCTAAATATCTGTCGGAGAACAGAGCTGTATACCATACAACCTACGCGGAGCCTTCTGAACTTGCCTGTTGCTTTAGGTAGGATGGAGGACATCATCAGTGTCCAAGTATCTATTATCAACCCAGTTAGCTTGAGCACACAGATTAGGGAGGAAGTGTCATCTTGTCCTTTGCTTCAGGAAAGAAAATCTCTCTACCTTTCGGCACAATGAGAGTGTGAGCTTTGGCTGGGTTCCTATTTGGGCACTATGCTAGTATAAGAGTAGATCTGAGCACATTGGTACTTGTGGCCCTTGATTCCAGAAAACTGCATAGTCTGACTCAAAAACAAGAACAAATTGCTTCCTCCTTATGCTACCAAGATAATTTGCTTTTAAAGTGGCTACAATCTCGCCTGCAAAGCCTAATATTAAAAACCTCTATTTTTTTCAAAATAAAAGGTTTTTGGCTTTTGGAGGGAGACCTTTAGGGCAGTCAACCTAGCTCCCAGAATGGCTCAGGTGGCAATTTCTTTGGACACATGCATTGGAGACAAGAGGTTTTTATTACATCAATCCACTATTCTGGTTCAGCAGGCATAGGCAAACTTTGGCCCTCCAGTTGTTTTGGACTTCAATTCCCACAATTCCTAACAGCCAGTAAACTTGCTGGGATTTCTGGGAGTTGAAGTCCAAAACACTTAGTGGGCTGAAGTTTGCCCATGCCTGTGCTACAGAACCATTGGTTTAAAGCAGTGGTTCTTAACCTTCCCAAGGGTGCGATTTTGTCATTTGGGAGTTGCCATTGCTGGGATTTATGGTTCACCTACAATCAAAGAGCATTCTGAACTCGACCAATGATGGAACTGAACCAAACTTGGCACACAGAACTCCCATGGCCAGCAGGAAACACTGGAAGGGCTTGGTGGGCACTGACTTTGAGTTTTGGAGTTGTGGTTCACCTACATCCAGAGAGCACTATGGACTCAAACAATGATGGATCTGGACCATACTTAGCACAAATACTCAATATGCCCATATCTGAAATACAGGTTTGCCTGCTGCATGTTATAAAATCCAGAGAGGTAGTGGTGCAAGAAGAAGGCTCCTAGATTCAAGTTGCTGTTCTTTTAGTAGCTTACATCTGAAGGTGGGTTTATGTAAGCAAGGCAACTTGAGACAGGATGCCTTGGACAACTCATCCCACCTTTTCACAGCCTTCCTCTTTTTGGTTGCCAATGCCACCTTTTCCTCCACCACTGGTTTATCCATGCCAGCAGAGGCTATATAATCCCATTTTCAGAGAGCTGATTTGTGGTTATGCCTTAATTATTTAATTTATTATTATTCCTAGGGTAGGAGGCAGCTGAAGAGTGGGCTTGCTATTTGCCACATCACCTCAGGCATTAGAATACCTTGAGGTGGCCCTGGTTGTGTTTCTATCTGACTAAAACCAAGCTTCCTGTTGCTACCTGCCTTTTTATCAAGCTCTGCTTACCTAAAGAAGAAAAGCTGCCCATAAGGATTTTGATAATAAGGCTTTGATAGAAAGGCTTTTGGGAAATGCGCATTGCCTGGTTGTTGCTTTTTTAAAAAGAAAGCTGCACAGGTAATTGGTGTTTGGCAGCTTTTCCAGCTATATTTCCTTGGCTTGCCTGTGTGTTAATTACCTAAATTCACTCATTTAGATTCATCCCCGCATGTGGTTTGGCAGGGATGTATTGTCCTAAAGAGACTTTCATGTTGGTCCCTCCACCCCAGTGCGGAAAGCTTCTTTTATGGCACCGAACCCTCACAATGTTATTGTTTGTTTTGACTTGGTGAAAAAAAAACAAATATTATGAAAATAAAGAAAAGAAAGCTTCTGAACAAATGGTGGCAACAGCCGAGCACTAAATATAAAATTAATTAACAGAAACAGTTGGCTTACCCAGATGTCTGTTGTAATTCTGAGGAGATAACGTGAGCTCAGGAGATGTTCGGGGTAGTATTTCGAAGGAGGCAAAAATTACCATAATTTTTAATATCAAGATCAGGTGCTTGAATACCATCTTCACTGCTGGCAACTGGAGGGATATTTAAGGTTAGTAAGAACAAGGAAAGAATAATGAAAGCAGCATTTCTGGATGGTTATAGTAAGAGTTGAGAGTCAGATATATGAGCATCTACGAAGAAGACAAAACACATTCATCATCACACAGTAAATGCCAGCGCTTGGATGTAATTAGTTACAAATAGCTAGTCCCTTAGGGCTAATTGCTTTTCCAGTAACTAAGACCTAATAACTGCACTGCAGCAGTAAATGAACAAGGGATAACTACACCCACTCTTTAGTACATCTATAACATTTTATTACTTATGATTGTTTCTTTTAATTTTTAAAAAAACCTTTTATATGACCCATTGTTTTACATATATATACACTTAAGTATAAGACAAGTTTTTCTGCCCTTTTTAGGCTGAAAAAGCCCCCTCAGCTTATACTCAAGTTAAAGTTATTTATTATTTTACTCTGTTATTATTATTTTGCTGACACAAAAACACAGTATGTCAAAGCAAATGAGATCTATATGCTGGATTTCATATCACAAAATTACAAGTTGAACACTTCTCAAGCATCTAGGACTGTGTGATGTATTTTCAAATGATGCGTGCAGATCCAAGTAAGGTGGCCTTTTGCAGTTGTGATTTTATCAATGTTTATTGTTTCCAAATGCCAGCAGAGATCTTTTGGCACGGCACCCAGTGTGCCAATGACCACTGGGACCACCTGTACTGGTTTATGCCAGAGCCTTTGCATAAAATTATTATTATTATTATTATTGTTGTTGTTGTTGTTGTTGTTGTTGTTCGATGTATTATTTTACTCTATTATTGTTGTTACATGTATTATTTTACTCTATTATTATTGTTATTATTACATTTCCATTATTTTATTCAATTATTATTATTTTATTACATTTATTATTTTACTCTATTTATTATTATTGGAAGGTTATGTAAGCACTTTTATACTGAAGAAGGTTAGAATAATGGTTTAATCAGAGTTGGACACTCTTATCTTAAAACATCTGAGTCCCCTTAGGGGTGAGAAGGGCGGCATATAAATGTTGTAAAATAAATAAATAAATTACAGTTTTATGTAAATATTGAAAAACATTTAATCTACTGATGCCTCAATTAATGTAATTTTATTGGTATCTACTTTTATTTTGAAATTTACCCATAGCTGCTGCATTTCCCACACTTGACTTATACTTGAGTCAATACATTTCCCGAGTTTTTTGTGGTAAAATTAGGTGCCTTGGCTTATATTTGGGTCAGTTTATACTTGAGTATATACGGTATTTTGTTTATAACTTGTATTGTGATCTGTCTTGAGCTCTATATTGGGAGAAATGTGGAATATGGATCAAATGAATGAATAAATTTTTTTTCCTGTAGTGCAGGAGTAATATCGGACAGTTCAAGTGCTGGCCCATGTTGTATTTTTATGTTTCTGTCTGGTAATAAAAAGGTGAATGAGAAGAGAGTACAGTTTTATATCACAGACCACTGGTTGGAAGCAGTCACATTTATTTTAAACTAAAAAGGAGCTATTCTATTTATCTTTCAGAAAGAAAAGTAAAGACTTATTTTTTAAACAAAATGTAACAACCATAGTAATTAACTTGTGAGTGAGGACTTAAGAGTTAGAACTCTTCCAGTTATAGTTATATATCTAACTATAACTTTTCCTTTAAAAAGTAACTCTCCAAGTGCTGGAAAATATTGAATGCATAGCCCTGTCTCCACTCTGAGACTATAGCAGCAAGACAACAGTGCTTATTTTTAATTGACATAGCTGCTTATAATGATGGGGCTAAACTCATCTTGCTTATTATATACCCCCCAACTGTCCTAAGTGGGCTGGGACAGTTCCAGTTAATTCTCTGTTATCCCACTTTTTCAGCTGTTTTTAAAATGTTTCAGTTTCTCTCTTCTTGTTTCCCCCTTGTTCTCAGCTAACTTCCATTGCTGCAAACTGAGTTCAAAGTGCAAATTTTGTTTGCACCCAGTTTTAATCATAGAGTTGCAAGAGATCATCAAGGCCAGCTAGCCTAACCCCATTCCACCATGCAGGAAGATACAATCAAAGCACTCCTCACAGATGGCCATCCAGCTTCCATTAAAAAAAAACCCAGAGAAGGAAACTCTGCCACAAAATATCAGTGAGGGGAGGACGAAAGGTAAGAATCTTGCCATTTCCCAGAGGCTTCATTTCCTTCCCCAGCTACAGCCACTGGAGATACGCAAAAACCACTACAACCATCTGGAACAGGTCCAGAAGATGTACACCACTGTACATCTAAATCTGGCCAAATTCTGTTAAGATCCAGTTTTTAATCTGTATTTTATTATTGTTAATAATCTTAAATGTCATTTCTTTGGCAGAAAGACAGAGTATAAATTAAAAACATGATCCTAAACCCAGTTTAATGCCAAAAGAATGAAATATCCCTGCTTGCAGAAGTTGTGCTGGATTACACCTTGGCATAAGAGATTGTATAAAGCAGGTGAGCAAGTAGTTGTGCACAGATTGTGCAAAGCAGTCGTGCAACCCATTGTGCATCTGATTGAATAGCTTTGTGAATAAATGGTTATACAATAACTTTGCACCACTGCTTACACAATAACTGCTTAAACCATATGGAATACCACCCCTGCACTACCAAGAAAGCGTGGAACTGCTGGAACAAGAGGTCTTCCACTAGTGAAGTGGTATAATTGGAAACAGGCCATTACTTCATTAAATGGAAAAACCTGTGCCCAAATATTGATGTGACATATGTATCAATCATGAATTAGATCCAACACATGCAACCATTGCTTCTTCACATTTAATTAGAGATTATCTGATTAGCCTAATTCTCAGGACTTGAGTTCATAGCAAAGCTTTCACTTGCCATCATAAGAGCCCCCGGTGGCGCAGTGGGTTAAACCCCTGTGCCGGCAGGACTGAAGACCGACAGGTCGCAGGTTTGAATCCGGGGAGAGGTGAATGAGCTCCCTCTATCAACTCCAGCTCCTTGTGCGGGGACATAACAGAAGCCTCTTACAAGGATGATAGAAACATCAAATCATCCGGGCGTCCCCTGGGCAACGTCCTTGCAGATGGCCAATTCTCTCACACCAGAAGCGACTTGCAGTTTCTCAAGTCGCTCCTGACACAAAAAAACCCAAAAGCTTGCCATCGTTGCTTTCATTGACATCCAGACCTAGATGTCTGTTGCCAAAATAAAAATAAATCTCACAAAAGACTTTGTGTGAATTACACTAAATTTCAAGGATTTTCATCTTCAGAAAAGTTCTAATGCCGTCTAAATATTTTATGAGCATAATCCTAGACCTTTTGGTAACTCAACCCAATAAAATAAATAGAACTTGAAAGTACTGAAAAGTACAAAAGTTAAACTTATGTTTGCTAGTTTTAAGAGAGTAGATGATTCACTGACATTAAAGGTAAAGGTTTCCATTTTACATTAAGTCTAGTCATGTCTGATTCTGTGGGATGGTGCTTATCTCCATTTCAAGTCAAAGAGCTGGCATTGTTGGTAAACACCTCCAAGGTCATGTGGCTGGCATGACTTCACCGAGCACCATTACTGACATTGGCCTTATGCAAATAATCAAATTTCTCCCAATGAAACCAAAGGACACTACAGTGTTTATAATCAGCTGGTCATTATTATTTTAATCTTAATTGACTCAAATATATTGTCCTGACTGAGAATCTAAGAAGAGGACTGAAGACTATGGCCCTGAACTCAACTGGTCCTCATAATTTATTTTGCGTACTTCTACCCCGCCCTTCTCAACCCCTGAGGGGGGACTCAGAGCATGGCTAGGAAATACTTCCATGGATACAACTGTGTTGGTGAAGGCCTCTTTTCTTCTCTACATGCTAACACCAACCTGGTGTTACATAATAGCAGGGTTAGAAGGTGGGCCCATTTATTAGAGAAGCCCTGAAATTGTCTTTCATATAGCAAAACCAGAAATTATCTCATAAAATCTAGCTTCTTTAGGATACATGGCTGAATGTGGGAGATCCGTGCATTTTGGCCCAGCTCCTCCAGTCCCTAACTTTCAGTAGTAGTGTCTAAAGGATGTTCAATTAGTGCTCGCTTGAATATGAATCGAATGCTCCATAGCATTGTTGACCCTGGTAAATTAGTCTTTGATTACAGAGGTACTTTCCTCTCAGATTCAATTAAACATGTGCTGACATCTGGTTAGTCACTTGCAGTATCATAAGTCTGCTATATGAAAACTCAATTTTTAAATCACTGCACACATTGGAATTTTGTTTCTTCTCAGCCTACCTTGTCAGCCTTGCATAGCTTATGTCTATTTCCTTGTCATTGGAACCATGGCTGTTTCGATGTTGTAGGACACTGATGAGACAAACCTTAGCATGTCCAGTTATTTTAATTTTAGCTGAATGGACCGCAAGGATAACATCTTCAGGGACTTTTCAAGTACTTCAGGAGATATCTCAAGCATGTCCAGTTAAAGGCAGATGATGGAAGCATTACTCCTGATCCCTCTACTCTTTGACAATATGGAAAGGGTTACATGATGATATGGAAGTGGCTTATAGTTGTGTAGTTGCATGAAAAACATACATCTCTCCATATAGGATCTCCACAGCAGACTAAGCAGAATAGAAATGGAACTGGTATGACACTTTGCCTAGGCTGGCTTTTTAATTGTTTTTTTATTGGATGTAAATTACATATTTTAATTTGTTGTGTAATGTTTAGTGTTGTTTTAAGTTTAAATTTTCTCTCAGGTTTCTGTTTTATAGGTATTGAATGTTTGCCTGTTTGTTGGAAACTGCCCTGATTCTCCATGGGGAGATAGGGCAGGATACAAATAAAGATTATGATGATGAGGAGGAGATGGAGAGGATTTCAGCTGTAAGTAGAGTGACTCATCACTCAAGATGGGGAATTCACGGGACTGGATATGAGGCATAGGCATTGGGACAAATGCAGCAAGGACAATGTGCATGATCCATTCCTCTGTCTACTTAAGACATCAGTTATGCAAACAAAGGTTTTCAGGTCTTCATGGTCTGAATCCCATAATAGCTATAGAACTGAGTGATGGGGTAGGACATACATGAGAAGATCAGAGATGAGAGATTAATTTATTCTGTAAATCCCTAGGTTGTTTTTGCAAAATTAGAAGTAAGCTAATAAGGGGAGAATCAGCTGGTATGTGAAATAAGTGGCACTTATTTCACATGCCAATAAGGTAATGCTCAAAATCCTGCAAGGAAGACTCCAGCCATACATGGAGAGAATTGACAGATGTATAAGCTGGGTTTCCAAAAGACAGAGGAATGAGAGACCAAATTGCCAATATCCACTAGATAATGGAGAAAGGCAGGGAGTTTCAGAAACATATCTATTTCTGTTTTATTGACTATTCTAAAGCCTTTGACTGTGTGAATCATAATAAATTGTGGCAAGTTATTGGTGGTATGGGGATACCAAATCACCTTGTCTGTCTCCTGAGAAATCTGTATAATGGCCAAGTAGCAACAGTAAGAACTGACCATGGAACAACAGACTGGTTCAATACTGGGAAAGGTGTACGGCAGGGTTGTATACTCTCACCCAACCTATTCAACTTGTATGCAGAACACATCATGCAATGTGCGGGGCTTGACAAAAGCAAGGCTGGGGTTAAAATTGCTGGAAGAAACATTAACAACTTTAGATATGCAGATGATATCACTTTGATGGCCAAAAGTGAGGATGAGCTGAAGAGCCTTCTAACCAAGGTGAAAGAAGAAAGTGCAAAAGCTGGGTTGCAGATATATATATATATATATATATATATATATATATGTCACAAGATTATGACCAATCTCGATAAAATAGTGAAGAGTAGAGACATCATACTGGCAACGAAGATCCACATAGTTAAAGCAATGGTATTCCCCGTAGTATCCTATGGATGTGAGAGCTGGATCATAAGGAAGGCTGAGCGAAGGAAGATAGATGCTTTTGAACTGTGGTATTGGAGGAAAATTCTGAGAGTGCCTTGGACTGCAAAAAGATCCAACCACTCCATACTTCAGGAAATAAAGCCCAACTGCTCATTGGAGAGAAGGATATTAGAGGCAAAGATGAAGTACTTTGGCCACATCATGAAAAGACAGGAAAGCTTAGAGAAGTTAATAATGCTGGGGAAAATGGAAGGAAAAAGAAAGAGGGGCCAACCAAGGGCAAGATGGATGGATGGTATCCTTGAAGTGACTGGCTTGACTCTGAAGGAGCTGGGGGTGGTGATGGCTGACAGGGAGCTCTGGCATGGGCTGGTCCATGAGGTAACAGAGTTGGAAGTGACTGAACGTATAAACAACAACAACAGCTGGTAGGAAAGGGTTAAGAAGCAGCCCTCTGATAATCACTGTTTTGATTGTGGAGAAAGAATAATAGGCATGTCTTATTGCCACTGACTAGGGACAGGGCATCTCTTCTTCTTCTTCTTCATCATCATCATCATCATCATCATCATCATCACTTTATTTCTTAATTAGTCGCTCTCTACCAAGGTGCTCCGAGCGACTTACAATTTAAAACAGTTTATACACAATATAAAACATTCAATATAAAACATTCAATATAAAAACATTCAACATAAAAACATTCAGCAGTGACTATGGCAAAATTTGATCCGGTTACTTAAATGCACAGCCAAACAGCCAAGTCTTGAGCGCCTTTGCAAAAGGTCGCAACTCCGACATTGCTCTAATATATGGAGGCAATGAGTTCCACAGAATTGGAGCATTGATCGAAAAAGCTCTACGCCTTGTAGCTTCCAAATGTGCCTCCCTAGGACCCAGTATGTAGAGGAGATTTTCCTGGGTGGATCGAGGTGACCACTGATGGGGAAAAGGAATGAGGCGGTCCCTAAGATATAAAGGTCCTTGGCCATTTTGAGCTCTAAATGTCAGGATCAGTATCTTGTAAGAGATCTGATGTTCTATTGGTAGCCAACGCAGTTGTTGCAGAATCGGTGTAATATGGGATCTTAGAGATGATCCCGCTAGCAGCCTGGCTGCCGCATTTTGGACCATCCAAATCTTCTGGGTCGTTGACTTCGGAAGGCCGGCATAGAAGGCGTTGCAATAGTCCAACCTCGTGGTGACTGTTGCGTGGATTACCGTTGCCAATGCTTCTACCGAAAGGTAGGATGCCAATTTCCTTGCCTGGCGAAGATGAAAAAAGGCCTGCTTACTTATGGCAGTGATCTGGGCCTCCATCGTCAGCGATGAGTCCAACACAACCCCAAGGCTTTTAACAGTGGCAGACGGAACCAGAGCTTCCCCATCGAAATCAGGCAGAGACTGGGTTAATTCTGGTGGCTGGCCGGGCCAGAGTATCTCAGTTTTTGCAGGATTGACTTTTAGTCTGCTTGCTCGTAGCCAACTCATCACTGCTTCCAAACACAGCTTAAAGTTCTCAGGAATCGCAGTTGTTCCAGGTTCGAGACGCAAGAGTAGCTGGGTATCATCTGCATACTGGTAGCACTCTATGCCAAAGCTCCGCACCAGTCCAGCAAGTGGTCGGACGTAGATGTTAAATAACAGGGGCGAGAGGATAGCACCCTGGGGAACTCCACAGCAAAGGCAGGAGCTTTCAGAGCTTTGGCCTGACCACTCCACCCTCTGTCTCCGGTCCCGGAGGAATGAATTGAACCATTTGAGGGCTAAACCTCGTACACCAGACATAGCCAATCGATGAATCAGCAAGTCATGGTCCATGGTGTCAAATGCTGCTGTGAGGTCCAAGAGTACCAATAGCGCTGATCCGCCTCGGTCTAACTGACGACGAATTTCGTCAGTAATAGCTACCAAGACAGTCTCTGTCCCATGACCTGAACGAAAGCCTGATTGAAAGGGGTCCAAACCCGCAGTCTCATCTAAGAATTGCTGTAGCTGCCCCGCCACTGTCCGTTCAATCACCTTGCCCAAAAATGGAAGGTTTGAAACTGGGCGATAGTTACTAGGTATGGCAGCATCAAGGCTTGGTTTTTTCAGGAGAGGGTGGACCACGCTTCTTTAAGGCAATCTGGAAAAATTCCTTGCTCCAAGGAGCTGTTGATGATGCTCCTTAAGGGATTTTGTAGTCCCTCCCAGCACTCCTTAACCAACCGGGAGGGGCAAGGATCGAGGGAGCAGGTGGTTGGCCTTGCAGCAGCTAGAGTCTTTTCCAGGTCTTCCATTTCTAATGACACAAAATGTGACCCTGTAGTGACCCTGTCCTTTTGGACCCCACATTTCATAGGAGATAAGGCTATCAAGAACCGTATCAAGTCATAATGGGAATATACATTACCTGCAGTATCAGAAACAGGCTAATGCTGAATACCAGCGGTAAAGGAACACATACAGAGGGTGCTATTGGGCTAATATCTACCTTGTTGATTTTCCACAGGCACCAGGTCGTCCATTGTGAGAAGCAACAAATCCTTATTATGTTCTTATATTTCACTCTATATTCTTCTCTGTCTCATGGGCTTTAAGAGCATCTAATCAAACTGACAGAGAATCTTCAAATCTGAGAGGTAAGATCTGAAAGTTAAGTGTTTGGATGTGTCATACACTGAGACATCACAAAGGTGAATATATCTAGTGATGTATGTACTTGTGGAAAGGTAACTTCTGCAATGGTCCTAGTACCAGTCCTTCAGTTCTGAGTTATTGTTCTGAGACTTTTGTCCTGCTAATTCACCTGCCTTGCTGTGAAGGACAGACCACTTATCAGGTTTTTCTGGCTCAAGTAGCAGTGCTTTAGGCAGAGACCCATTTGCTATGAGGTTCAAGCTCATATTCTGTGTGAAGTGGGGATGGCACAAACACAAGTGAGTCACACTTCTGCAGTTCTTTCTCTTCTGGTGACATATTAAGGAGGATTTAGATGTGAACTGAGGATTGCAGGTTAGAGGAGTTGCAAAAATGGGTAAATAAGAAATGTAACTCACTGAATCTATTGCCACATGCACACAAGGTGCCTAGTCAATACTTTTTGTGTGTAGTTAAAACCAGATTTGAACCTGAACTTTTTCAGTGAATAATAATAGCACTTTCATACAACTTTAACTGCGATGGCTACATCCCATGGTATTCAAATATTTGCAGTTGCATAAGACATTTGATAGACAATTCTACATTCTGCAGAGAAACTACAAATCCCCAGGATTCTATAGGATATTCCTATGACAGTTAAAGTGGACTCATAGTGCTATAATTGTATAATGTGGAAGCACTTCCAGGTTAGGTGTCACTATTTTAGCAGAGAGATGGCATTTAAAGGGTATCAAAGTGCTATAGTTGTGCAGGATGGAAAGAGCCCACATTCGAAAGTCCCATCTTGATCTTAACCCCCCTGCCCTATATCAATAAAAGGAAAAGAAATGTTATCTTGAACAGCTATCAAATGTATCCTTTCCTTTACCACACACAGTCCATACACTTGAACATGGGGGTGACAGTGTCCTACGGATTTACTAGATGTAATAGGTTGTGGCGTGTAGCAAGTTGACATAAGCTTTTTTATGACCTTTTCTATTCCCAGAACCAAGACTAAAATACACTAAAGGCATCATATCCTATGTGATCTTGAAAGGTAAACAGGATCAGCCCTGCTTAGTACCTGGATGGGAGACTGTCAATATAGACTATATTTTAGAGGAAGGAACTGGGAAAACCACATCTGAGCATTCCTTGCCTAAGAAAACCACATGAAATTCATGTGGTTAACATAAGTTGACAGGCACCTTGAAGACACATGCATACACATTCCCAGTAACATAAAACTGGGTTTGGCTTATGCCAGAAAATATATTCCTGTGTTGATCACTTAAAAGATTTTCAGTTGCTCCTAGAACATTCAAAAGCTTGAAGCCTTCTTTGCTCAAAAATATGACTCTGTTTCACTAATAAACTGTCTGATGCCATGGGCCAAATCCTAAACCGAATGTAATCAATGGGGAGATTTTCCTCCCAGTTTCTGCAAAAAGCAAAAGAGGTTCTTTTAGGTTGACCCTGATTTGTATGACAAGGAGCAAGTCTGAAAAGCAGAGAACAATGGGATATTTTCAAATTAACATTACAGTGGAAATCTTTTCTTAGAAATGAATACCGTGCACTCAGTGGTTATTTAACTAGCTTGATAGACATGACAGGCTTTATCACTTATAACTAACATGGGCTGCCTTTTGATCTCTGTACAATAAAAAGGCAGACAAAGTAGCCGGTTGTCTTAACAATGTTGATTCTGCATATTCAATAAAATGTTCCCAGAGACTTTCAAATATTTAATGTGAGCGTTCTCCCTCTCCCTTGATATAGGATTGCTGCTACACAGTTGTGATTTCAGAAAGTCTATCCTTTGTTTTTTTCTTTCCTGATAATGTTGTCATTACATTACACATTTCTCCTGCATCTCTGCAGGAGCTTTGAGCTATGTGTGTGTGTGTACACATACACACACATACAGAAGGAAACTTGAGCTGTTTGTTTTTGGTTTTGTAAGCATGACTCGGGAGCCCCCGGTGGCGCAGTGGGTTAAAGCACTGAGCTGCTGAGTTTGTTGACCGAAAGGTTGGAGTTTTGAATCCAGGGAGAGGTGTGAGCTTCCACTATCAGCCCCAGCTTTTGCCAACCTAGCAGTTCAAAAACATGCAAATGTGAATAGATCAATAGGTACCACTCCGGCGGGAAGGTAACGGTGCTACATGCAGTCATGCCGGCCACATGACCTTGGAGGTGTCTATGGACAACGCCGGCTCTTCGACTTAGAAATGGAGATGAGCACCACTCCCCAAAGTCGGACACAACTGGACTTAATGTCAGGGGAAAACATTTATCTTTACCTAAGCATGACCTATTACTGGGGTTACTGAAAAAAAATGGGTTCCTCTAGAACCGTAGAGACCAAAATCCACTGGTTATAGTAATGCGAATGTATTTAAATTAACTCAATGCATACTTACAAATCCACATATCAACAAAATACAGAGTTGCCACATTCACATTAAGCAGCAACAATTGGTTCTTCTCTTGAAGTATAAAACAAAACCTTCATGTGAGTAAGAACAGTCCTTGAATGTAAATGAATGTCCTATTCTTTATTGCATAAGAGTAGACACCAATAATCACAATAGATGTCCTATTCTCTTCATTATACATGAGTCGACTCCAACCTACAACCGGTTTCAACTCACAAGAGCCTTCATCAGGTGGTTGGGTCTACAAACAACACACTCGCATTACTGTAATCACTATTACTGGGGTTGCCAGGTCACAACTATCCAAGGTCTGAGATTTCAGGGTCAAAATCTGAAGCTAAGGGACTTGTGACATCACAGGGGAAGGGTTTGGCAATGTTACAAGAATGTTGTGTGGATGCATTTCAGTGGCTTACACTCTGCAATGCTAGAAATTTAGGCACTGAAGGAAAATGTCTTGGAAAAAACATAGTTCTTGTTTGAGGAGGAACATATGCCATCTTTCCCCTTTCCTCCTATGGTAGCCTTCCCCCATGTTATGGTGGCCACTGAAGACTCAATTTTCATTCTGAAGCTTCTTGAAAGGTTGTTCAGAGGTATCAGAAAAATCAAGTGGCTGTATTCTGACATTTGCAAGGAAGCCCTACACATTGCACTGGTATTATGTTGGATTTCTAGAGGACTGAGTGCCTTCTCATTGCTGCCCTTGTGTTTATGAGGAATATTTGTCTGATTCCTATTTTCATCATTGCTTTAGTGTTCCTTTGACCTTGACCTTAACTGTCTAAACCACATAAGAAAGAGCAGGATGAAATTAACAGTAGCCTTGGATGCTACTGAAATTTCCATTCTCTCTGACAAAGGTTATGATTCCAGTTTCACAATCATGTAATACATCAGATGCAACCCCCCCCCCCCCCTTTAAATGTTTTACTGCAACGGATGTTGCTTTTTTCCCAAGGAGAAAATATGGCAGTAATAAACAAGACCTAGCTCTCTTCTCATGAAATCTCTTTCATGGAGAGGCTCAGCTGTTCATTACTGAGTATAGTGCTCTGCGACTATGTTTCTAACTTAAGTAAACAGAAGGCATCTCACAGTTTCCCCTTTCCCCCTCCCTTTCCCACATTCTTTGTATTTATCTACTACATTAAAAAGAAAAACTTAGCACTGCTGTCGAAGAAAAATCCAAGCTACCCGAATTTAAAATCCATTACTTTTATGGGTTACTAGATAACTCGGAGAACTGATCACTGCCTTTGTGACTCCCCCCGCCCTTTCTTTTAAAAAATGTATTAAAAATTGGGCTGAAAGCAACCAGAATTAATGTTAAATTGAACAAGGCAACTAGAATTAATGATAAAAACAACAGGACTTCACAATCTATAAAGTTTCACACTGTCACCTGCAAATTCTAATCTGCACCCCTCTGTGACAGAGAATGTGTAAGTGCTTGTAGGTCTTTGTAATCGTCGGCAGAAAGAGTTCTTGTCCTTTGGGTAACTGTGTATTTGGGTTGTAAAATAATGGCAACAATCAAGTGAAGGGTTTGGTAGATCAGGGCCAAACAGGAATGACATATTGGTCAGAATCCTATTGTGATTTTATGTTGGCATAAAAGCTATTATGCAAGCAGTTGTTCTTCCATAGAGGTTGCACAAAGATGGTAGTGCATTTAGGGTTGTACAAGGCTAGGACAGTGTTGCACAAGAGTCCAATACTATAGCATAGCTATAATTTTATGTTACAGTGGGTTAGCCTAAATCAACTCTTATCATAAAATTGACCATTAAGGCTGCAATGGAGCTTTGGAAGAAGGAAGAGAGTTTTGTGCTCCAAAGCTTTGTCGCATCCCGGGTGATGCAGAACCAACAAATACAGAGTCTGCTGCAATGCTAAGGAGACTATTTTTTTGGGGCGGCGGGGCAACATGGGGTGCAGGAAAGCTCAGGAAGCACTGCCCATGCCCAGTCCAGTTTGGAACTGACATTTTCTATGCCGGTTGAGTTGCATTTTATGGTTGTGTAGAAGAGCCCTATATCTACACTGACCATTTAATGTACAGTAAAGTCTCACTTATCCAACTTTCATTCATCCAACGTTCTGTATTATCCAACGCAGTCTGTCTCCTACCCAGATCCATAGCTGTTCCAATACATTGCAATGTTTTGATGCTAAATTTGTAAATACAGTAATTACTACATAACATTACCATGTACGAAACCGCTTTTTCTGTTAATTTGCCATAAAGCACGATGCTTTGGTGCTTAATTTATAAAATCATAACATAATTTGATGTTTAATAGGCTTTTCCTTAATCCCTCCTTGTTATCCAACTTTTTTGCTTATCCAACATTCTGCCGGTCCGTTTATGTTGGATAAGCAAGACTCTACTGTAGTTTCAAATTGCATTATAGGGCGGTGCAAATAGTGCCAAAGTGGCTTATGTACATATGTGTGTTGTGTGCCTTCAACTTATTTCTGACTTACGGCGACCCTAAGGTGACCCTATCATAAAGTTTTCTTACCACAATTTCTTCAGAAAGGGTTTTCCATTGCTGAGACTGAGAGTGTGACTCACCCAAAGTCTCCCAGTGAGTTTCTGTGGCTGAGCAGGGATTCAAATCTTTGTCTCCAGATTGTCCAACAACCAAACCACTACATCACACTGGCTCTCGAAAGTGGTTTACTTAATAATAAAAACAGAAGAGACTAATAAATACACAAAAACATCAATATAAAAATGCACCCAGATTATTTTACAAAGCAATTGAACAATCTGTAGAATTAAGATCACTTAAAAAATTTAAACACATGCAGAAACAACAGAACATAAACATTAAAAGCCCATTGTAACAGCCTGATGGAATAGGTAAGTTTTCACTTGTAGGTGGAAAGAGAGCAGGGTGGGGATCCATCCTATCCTATCTAGGGAGAAACATCCACTGAGAAGACCATGTTCCTTGTACCTACCAAATATACCTTGGAAAGCAATGGGACTGAAGGAAAGCAATGGGATTGAAGGATCTCCCCCAAAGAACCCAGAGCTCAGGCAGGCTAATACAAGACATCTCTGCACCCAAGGGTCGCACCACTGATTTGTGTAAGGGCACAGAAATAATCATTGCCAGTTCCTTACCTAATGGAATTAGCTCCCTTCACACTTTCTTCCTACAATGCTGATGAAAGCCACCAGACTGCCAAAATTCTTTCTTGGCCAGTCATTGCCATCATGCATGAACATGTATGTGGACTATTATAACAAGCTATAAGATGAACAGCAGCAGACTTCATAGCTCTCCCTGCTTCCTGCAACAGAATCATTTATTTGGAACAATTCTCGTGCCATCAGTCAGAATGACCAATTCTAGACACTTCCTTGAACTTACTTTATCATAAAGCAAATATTGATAGGAACACTTGAATTAGGCCTTTGTCCATAGGGAAGACATATGACAGCACAGTATACCTCTATGTGTCAGCGGCCATATGGTAATGGTCCCACTAACTGGAAATTTGCTGTTTTGTGTAGAGTGAATATAACACTAGAATGGCATTTTCTAGGAAGTGGTCTGATAAAGAGTATTAGGATGTTTCAATTAATGTTGAATAGTTTTTGTTTTTTTTGTCGTGTCAGGAGCAAGTCGCTTCTGGTGTGAGAGAATTGGCCATCTGCAAGGATGTTGCCCGGGGGACGCCTGGATGATTTGAAGTGGAAGGCTTCTCTCATGTCCCCGCATGAAGAGCTGGAGCTGATAGAGGGAGCTCATCCGCCTCTCCCCAGATTCGAACCTGTGACCTGTCGGTCTTCAGTCCTGCCGGCACAGGGGTTGAACCCACTGTGCCACTGGGGGCTCCTATGTTGAATAGTGTGAACAATATACTAAAGTGGACAATATCAGTGTGTGTGTTTGTAATGTATCATTTTAGAAGTAACATGAGTGCAGTCCTTCATCCAGGCCTAGCTATTTATTTTAGATGTTGAGTGCAACTGAGAATGAAAGAGAGGCATTTCTAACTACCTCAAATATCAACGCGTATTTATTTATTTATGAATGATATTCAAACAGTTCACATTAGTTGTTTTAAAC